ATGCTGTTCTATTAACTGGTAATCAAAACATAGACTTGTATAGGTATTTTGGGGTACTTACTTGAGCTCGGTTGATTGCATGCACCACACCTCTTTTCTCTTTTCAAAGTTCTTTTCTTTCTGAATTCTTTTTGCTTTTCTAAAACTATTTTCTTTCTCGAAATTCTCTTTTTACAAAACTATCATTTCGTTTTGAAAACTCCCATACCAAATCCTCAGTTTGAGTTCAAACACACCCGAGTGCATGTCCAAATCCCTCAAACCAAGGCTCTGATACCAACTTGTAACGACCAAAAATTTAAGACCAAAAATTTCTTTTAATAAATCATTACTTAAAGTAAAGTCATCATTCCAAAACATAATATGAGTATAAGTTTTCAAAACACATATTCATTATCAGAGTAAACTTTCCAAGGCTGTCTAATCTATCGTGTGTGCCATGTGATCACCCCGAGCTCTTCCCTCCGCTACCGGAAGTACCTGAAACCAAAACTGAAAACCGTAAGCACGAAGCTTAGTGAGTTCCCCACCCTACCACATACCATGCATAACCACATACTGCACATATTGGGCCACGCCCGCTATCTTGAGCCTCGCCCCTACCTCGGGCCTCGCCCGCTACAACGGCCCCGCCGCTCCAGGCCCCTCCTGGCATTGAGCCCCGCTCGGATACAGATCTGTTTTACTTAGGCCTCGCCTGTCACATCGCCTCGCCCGCCAACAAATAATAACACATAAACATATCAGAACACATAACTAAACACATGCAACTGGTTCTGTCCTAAGGCCTCGCCTATCATGGGCCTCGCCCATGACCTGCTACTGATGAGTCAAGGAACCCCATCCACGCTCCTAATGGTAGTGAGATACGGGCCCAGCCCACTCTCACTCATGTTCTAGTTTGGGCCTCGCCCCTGTTCTGCTTCTAATGAGATATGGAACCCCATCCACACTCTGCTATTGGTGAGATATGGGACCTCGCCCACACTCACCTCCCTACCAGGCACATACATGTATCACACAGACAACAAGTATAAACTATCATATAAACGAATCCCTGGGCAACCACCCGCTATTACTCGACCTCATCCTGAATATCATACTAGCAAACTATGCCTAGGGCTAATCCCCGGGTCTTCTACTCATAACTACATGGGCCGACATTGTGGCCTTAGACCCAATCACACAAAGGGAAACTCACCTGCACTGGCTGAACTTGCTGATGATCTCACAAGCTGCTGCTCGACAACTCACTGAACTCCTGCTCCCCTTGCTCCCCGAACTACCAATATCAATGCAACACTGAGTCTAACTGACCCCCGAAAGACAACCAAGTCAACCCTGGTCAAAGTCAACCTTCCAGGTCAACCCTACTCGCCGAGTCACCCTACTGACTCATCGAGTTCAAAATGTTCAGAATACTTCCATTCGCGACTCGACTCGCCGAGTCAGTCCATGACTCACCGAGTCTACCGATTTCTGAGTCCTGACCTGTCCAACTCACTGAGTCTCCACCCGACTCACTGATTCGAGTCTCAACTTGAAGGGTTTGTGGGTTTCGCCACCTGACTTGCCGAGTCCAAGAACAGACTCGCCGAGTACAAGGCAATCTTCATATGACTCGACGAGTTGTTCATCCCACTCGTCGAGTTTCTCCACAACTTCATGCTACTCGCCGAGTCCACTCGAAGGACTCGCCGAGTCCCTTCAGTTCTCCTTACATGTAGAGGACTTCTGAGTCATGCACGGACTCCAAACTGTAGATCTACCCTTCCTAAGCCTATTCCTCACGTAAAGTAGCAAACTTTACATGTAGAGAACGAGATCTAGGCAAAATATGCCATAAACTAGGGTTTAAGGCCAAGGGGCTTCAAAATCGACTCAAGGGCCGATACTTTTTGCTTCTCCAGGCCATAACACACTTGGATTTGAAGTAGCAACTCCATATTCGGCTTCTAACCCATTAGGGTGGCTAATCATGGCTTAAAAAGCCCAAAACTCACCACCAGAAATAGATCTAAGGGAAGGAAATGACTTAATACCTTCAATACCTTAGAAAGACTCCACAAACTCCAGATTGAAGCCAATCCTTGAAGCTTCACTGATTCCCTTTCCTCTTCTTCCTTCAAATCACCCAAAAATGGCTTGGAATCTTGGATGCACAACAATGGAGGCTTAGGCTTCGTTTTCTGAACGAGGGATGCTATAAGGAACCCTAATGGAGAGAATAAGAAGCTTAAATAGCGCCCAAAGTCCCGAATTTAGGGTTTTCCTCTCACATACCGGACTCGCCGAGTCCACTTACATCTTGACCCGGATCCCGCTTGGACTCGCCGAGTCCCTCCTTGGACTTGCCGAGTTGACCCTTAAAATTAGCGCTTTCTTTCCTTTCTTGGCCTTTAAAACTTTGGGTGTTACAAATAGAAAAACTCATAAAATGACATGTGGAAAAAAATTAATCATACATACTTATAAAACTATCATTTTTTCTTGAATCTCATGCATTTGAAACCCCATTCTTTTTTCCTTTCACCACATTCATTTGAAACTCCTATGACTTTTTCAATTTCTTTATAATAATAATTATAATTTGGTAATTAGGTTAAATAAATATCAAATCTAAAGTGTATTCATATATAAACTAAATTTCAATATAAAAATAATATATTTTGTAAAGTCCCCGAAAATAGATCTACCAACGATCAAAGAAAATAGATCTACCAACGATCAAAGACAATAACAGATGCAAACACGAATTAATAAACCAATAAAGAACAAAAGACCAAGCTTGCATACGCTTTAATACTGTAAAATGTCTGATACAACTTGGAAGTATACGAGAGCATCATCAACCCATAAAGACTAACACAAATCGCTATTTAAAGACCTTACTAGAGACCGTAAAGTGTTTACGGTTAGGTGTTTACGGCCGTAAACCCATAAAGACCATAAACACTGTAAACTCAAAACAAAACACGAACAATTACATTTCTACTGCTATCTACGACTATGCCTAGACCAAACCATTTTACAGAGTCTTTCAATCTCCCCTTTGGTTTGGACTAGCTCGGCCCCATTCCTTTCTTTACCAGCATGACATCCATTTGGCCCATAGCACCATTCCACATTTTCTTGCTCAAAATTTCAGCAACCATTCTGGTATACGCCTTGGCTCCTTGCTCATAGATATCTTCAACCACTTTGATCTGAAAGTTGCTCAGATAATGAATATCCCATTTCCTGAACTGCAGTAGGTCTCTTCGATCATACAGCCGTATGCACCCATTCTTTAGCTTAATGACTGCACCACAAGTATTCTCATCAAAAACCCAGCATTCCATAGATCCGAGCGATCCATCTTTATAACTTTGAATAATAGGAAACTGTTTAACTTGAGTCGTGGGTGGCCACATAACCAACTGTAGAGGTTTATCAGAAGAAGCTTCAGACACATCTGGATGTTCCAGAATGACTGACTCAGCAGTTGGCATTATCGGAAATCCCTTCTTTACTTGCTCATCTAGAAAGAATTTAAACTGCGAAACCTGAGGATTGTTTAATAGATTGATGAAAGGAGCTTGTGATAACTCCGCAAGATCAACCCTTGTCAATGAACTAAAAGCACGAATATCCTTATACAGCTCTGAATTACCGCTCTTTCGAATAATAATCCAAAGTCGAAGAGGATCGTGAAATCCCCAAGCAGCTACACCCGACCGATCTCCAAAAGTATCTCTGAACCGAACAATTTCAAGATCAGTGACAGTGATCAAAGATTCCCCTTTAGAATTGCTCTGAGTAACATTTCGCTTGAATAATAACTGCCCCCTTTCAGTATCATCTTCTTGATTTTTCCGAATGATTTCTTGAATATGAGAAGCCATAGGAGGAACAACTTCAATACGCTCAGCAGAACCAGAAGGTTGACCAGCTGGCACGTCTACTGGATACGCTTGCATATGTAAATTTATTCTTTGTTCTTCTACGCTTGTTTTATACTTCTCACCAAAATCATCCTCCAGTTTCTTTTTCAATTCGAAGTAGCTTGAAGTCAGCAGATTGAAATGTTCTTGAAGATCAGAAATCTGCTTATCTTTTACTTTCCTATCCCTTTTAACTTCTGCGAGTTGTCCGCCAAGATAAGTTCTATCTGACTGAAGTTTAGACACTTGAGTACGAAGCTCAATGTTCTGAGCACGAAGTTCAGCTACTTGAATGTCAAGCTCTATGTTCTTCTGACTTAATACCGAGATCTCCTTTCGTAAACTATCATCAGATGAATCATCATCAGGAGCACCCCCTTCACTCATAGAAATGTTCTTTCCTTGAGGGCTAGACGAACGAAGCTGTTCCTCTGCCATATGCAAAGCTAGTCTCTCAGAAGCAGCATCCCTATTAAATCTTAGAACAGGAAAACCAGGCGGAGCTGAAGGGCCACCAACATCAAAAACTGAACTAGGTCCAGTTGCAAACATCTTTGTTACAGAAAGTCGTGTAGTAGCAGTAGTGATTGGTGGTGTAGGAAGACCACTGACCAAACTAGTAATTAGCTCGGATTGTCTTTCATCAAGTCTTCTCCTCTTAGATTGAGGTTGATCAGCTTGTGGAGGTATTATACTAACAGATGGTTCAGATGTAGGAGAAATAGACACGAGAGGGGAACATCCCACAACTACCTCCATTGGGATTGAAGTTGACACCATCTGCTCAGAAGTTGGAGTAAGAGTTTCGCTCGATTTTCTCATCTCAGTTGACGGCAAAACACTATCATCGACATTTTGAAAAATCGTGTCAAATATCTCGTTGGACACAACATTAGCACTACTAGCTAAAGAAGCCGCAATATCATCATCATCAAACCCCGTAAGATCAAGATCTTCAAATGAGTCACGTCCATCATCACCAGTACCTATTTCCCTTTCATCCTGTCTTTCATTCGACTCATGTTCATGACTAGAGGTGCTTTGATCTCTCTGAGCTGGTGAATCTTCATCATCTTCAGTCACGTCTATCACAAAGTTTGCTGGAGTTGAACCCTCAGTAGACGTTTTCTCAGAAGAAGTCGGTTCTGATGATTCGTATGACACTGGCGTCTCATCCAATTCTGTAAATTTACCGAATTTTTCCAATCGATAACGCCCTCGAAAGACAACTTTTCCTCTTCGGTTTTGCTTAATGAGTCCCACAGTGTGTGGACCCAAAGATTTCATATCCAAGGTGTCTCCTGACTTCCTAACCTCAGGAAACTGCATCTCGACAAACAATTGAATGAAGCGGGGATATTGGAGAAAAGTATCCCTAGTAGAAGCCCGGATGTTTATGACAAATTCCTCTAGGATGAACTTTGAGAAATTGAAATGAATTCCAGAGGCCAAAGATACCAATGCACCAGTTGTGCGTTGAGAAATTTCATCAGCCCCACTCCTTCTACCGGATATACAACTTACGAACACATGAGCCAGAAATCTCCAATATGGATGAAGCAGCTTTTTCAACGTTGGCGGGTAGGTTCCTTCATAACTCATCCGTCGCAGTATTCTCTGAACATCTTCTATGCCAATTTCCGTTGGATAGTTAGGTTGATCATCAATCAGCAACGCGTTTCGAACAAAACTTTCATCGATTACAATATCTCGTCCTTGCACCTTCGCCGCGACTGTGAAATTTCCATCATCATCTATCTGCGTCCTTGCCGTCGCCCAAAACTCACGAACGATGTTCTGATAGATCACCGGATTGACTGTCAATGCTGATGCAATACAACATTCACGCAACCTGTGAATCATTGAAAGCATGTCGGAATGAACGACAGGTGGATCAGCAAGAACTATCGCCAGATTGTGCATGTCTGCAAACTTGAGATTTGCCATTTTCCTGCACTCAAACACAGTTGTAAGAAACCTACACCAATGATAAAACTTATTTTGACAAACATATGACAATAAATTTGATCAAAATAAAAATTATTTATTAGTGATGTATGTTTTCAAAAAAATTAAACCTTTTGACAGTTTTGGTTCTTGGGCCGTAAACTCTAGTTTACGGCCTAAAGAACTCCCTTAGAAAAATTTAGGTTCACGGTTTAAGCGAGGAAAAACAAGCAATTGTTACCCAGTCAAACTAACAACTTGAATCGAAAAAATGTTCTTGGGCCGTAAACACCAGTTTACGGCCTAGAAATTACTTCGAAAACACGATGCATAATTATCACTGAAATATTTCAAACCGTCCAGAAAAGTTACACTTGAATTCACGGGCCGTAAACTGGGAGTTTACGGCCTATGAATGTTTACACCGAAAAAAGGCTAAAAATTTGTCTTTCACTTTGAGATGACGAACAAAAAGCATATAGCCGAGAACACAACGAGAAGTCGCATCATAACAAAATAATTTCGAATCCAAATCATCAAGTTTCAGAGTTTACGGCCTAAGCTTACGGCCGTAAACTCCTCGACTTGAGTTTATTTAATTTTTAAGCACAATGCGATAAGATTCCGTGAAACAAAATATATATTCGTGATCTACACGATGCTACCTTCACGATGATATACTCGTTTTTCCGAAAATCGATGAAAAAAATTTCGACACCTTGAGAGCTTTTGGGAGTGGTTTGCGGCCGGAAACTGTTGAGTGGGGAGATTCCGGCCGTGAACTCCCCCTTTTTACCTTTTTACCTTTCCACCTTTCTTACCCTCCTGCCTGATAGCTACCCAGTCTTTCTAATTTTTCGCCAATTAATTAAGAAGACTTTTTGAGGATTAATTTAACCTTTTTTTTAAAATAAAAACTAACACACCATAATTTTAAATGCTAGAAAAATAAAAGTAAAATAAAATTAACATAAAATTTGAAGTTGTAAAAAATTGAAAATTAAATAAAAATTAAAATAGAGATAAAAGTAAAAATAAAAGTAAAATAAAAATTAAAAATAAAAATAAAAGTAAAATAAAAATAGAATAAAAAATCAACGTCAAATAAATTAAGAACCACTTTAACTATCACTTCTTTTGTGATGCTTGGATCAAAGTTATTGGACGGCCTTATTCTACTTGTCGGTACCCTTATCTTCACATCTTCGTCTGACCGATTGCCAGTATTGTGGTCCACTTAAGCGCGAAGGATTTGTGACATTTTTGGACCTTTTACCAATGACATGATTCGGGCATATACCTGATTGTAAATTTCTGGTAATTATTAAAACTCCTAAATCTTACGTGAAATTACCTTATGACCATTTAATTGACTACAACCAGGGATATTGTTGTCCACCTAAATTGAGCAGCGAGATCTACAGACAATCTATATGAGTTCAATTTTAGGTGTACTGGAACGTGTTTCCCGCTTCCTGATATGCCCCAGCCATCAAGAACTTCCAGAGTACTCCTTACACCGGGTGAGCAGACAATCATTCAGAGAGAGAAGGGATACAGAATTCTATTTCTACCTACTTCAGAGGGGTTGAGAAGAAGAAGGTTGCATATGCTGTGTACCAGGTCGGATTAGAAGTCGCGCAAAGGAGACAGCATGTGGCTAACAGATGAGAAGTTTTTCACATATACATTTCACACATATATTTCAAGCGCATATATATTTCCTACAGAGAAATGGAGTTGCATATGTTGTGTACCAGGTCGGATTAGAAGTCGCGCAAAGGAGACAACATATGACTAACAGAAAGAAAGAAAGAAAACGATTTTCTACAGACCTAATTTGTCGGAATTTACCAGTCGCCCTATCCAACCGGAATTAAGGACAGAATCCGCACATCGAGGAAAAGTTAAGCCACGGTTCCAAGTACGGGTTCAATTAATGTGACGAGTGGATTCTCGTGTTTATCTCCCTGCTCAACCTATCCGAGCATCGTGATGTCAGATTAAACGGATCTAACTAGGTCAAAATTTGTCGAGTCCTTAAATTCATTAGGTTCAACTTTCCTAGTCAGGTCCCCTTTCGCGCCTACCAGCACATCGAGCACAGAGCATAGATGATTCAACGTAGGTACGTTACGCCGATTCAGGTCGTCCTTTATCACTTATTAATATCATTTCCCATCACAGTACTTACAACGAAGGCTGCTTTGAAATAACCCTAATTTAGATTCTTTACTGAAATGACACTATTTTCTTTCTCCCCCTAAATTTGTGCATAGTGGAGAGTTTTAAACAAAAATGCGCAAATTTAAACATACCTAACAAAAATTGAAGACAAACTTGGTTAAATGTTAAAATAGACTAAGAAGACCAAAGATGAAATAAAATTGAAATTAAAATAAAATAAAAAATAAAATAAAAAATAAAAAAACAAACAAAGAAAAAGAAAATTAAAAAACTTAATCCTCAAAACGTATCATTTGCAGAAATCCCACAAGCACATCAAAACGAGCTTTGTTAAAAGGTTTTGTGAACAAGTCAGCCACATTGTTATCAGTGTGGACTTGTTCGATTCGAATTAAAGATCGTTCATAACAGTCTCTGATAAAGTGAATTTTAATATCGATGTGCTTGGTTTTAGAGTGTTGGACTGGGTTCTTAGCAATTTGTATGGCAGCCTCATTATCACAATAGATAGGGGTTTCTGAGTAATTCAAACCGTAGTCCAACAGCTGATGTTGGATCCAAATAACTTGAGAACAACAGGCTGATGCTGCCACATATTCTGCCTCTGCTGTCGAAGTCGAGACAGTGTGCTGCTTCTTGCATTGCCATGAAACTAGTCTGTCACCTAGGTATTGACATCCTCCTGAAGTTGATTTCCTGTCAAGCTCACAACCTCCATAATTACTGTCAGTAAAAGCATAAAGATTAAATTCAGAATTCTTCGGATACCAAAGACCCAATTTAGGGCTTCCTTTGATATACCGAAAAATTCTTTTAACAGCAATAAGATGAGAGAGTTTTGGATTAGCCTGATAGCGTGCGCATTGACAGACTGCGAACATAATGTCTGGTCGACTTGCAGTAAGATACATTAGGGATCCGATCATTGATCGATAAAGAGTTTGATCTACGGGTTCGCCTTCTGGATCTGGAGTCAGGAGGGGTCGTTCAGCCATCGGTGTTGAGGCAGATTTAGCATCATGAAGTGTGAACTTCTGAAGAATGTCATCCACGTACTTGGCCTGATGAAGAAGGATGCCGGTTGAATTCTGTTTAACCTGAAGCCCCAAAAACATGGTCATTTCTCCCAAAGAACTCATTTCAAATCTTTTCTTCATTACACTTTCGAACTCCTTGCAAAGTTGTTGGCTTGTTGATCCAAAGATTATGTCGTCGACGTATATTTGAACAAGTATCTGGTCCTCGTCGACGTGCTTTATAAACAGTGTTTGATCGATAGTACCACGTGTATAGCCATGTTCGAGCAAATGCTTTGTTAGGGTTGCATACCATGCTCTAGGAGCCTGATGCAGCCCATACAACGCTTTATCCAACTTGTAGACATGATTAGGAAACTTCGGGTCGACAAACCCTGGAGGTTGATCAACGTAGATTTCTTCCTTCACCTTGCCATACAAGAAGGCAGTCTTGACATCCATTTGAAAAACAGTGAAGTTCATATATGAAGCGTACGCCAAGAAGATACGAATGGCCTCCAAGCGAGCTACAGGAGCATAAACCTCAGTGTAGTCAAGACCCTCGACTTGTCGAAATCCGCGAACTACCAATCTGGCCTTGTTTCGCACAATGACCCCTGAATCGTCCTGCTTGTTACGATAAACCCACCGTGTGTCAAGAGACTTTTTGCCCTTTGGTAACTCAACTAACTTCCAAACACCTAGTTTTTCAAATTGATGCAATTCTTCATGCATCGCATCCACCCAGCTAGGTTCATTTAGAGCCATCTCTACATTCTTGGGCTCAATTTGAGAGATGAAACAAGAATACAGACATGTATTCACGTCCCCACTTTGACTTCTGGTTTTAACACCACTGTCTAGCTGGCCGATAACATTCTCGAGCGGATGATCTCGTTGAATCCTAGAGGGTATTTCTTGGCTAATGTCATTGATGGAGACAGGTAGAGTGTGAATGTTAAAACCTCCTTCATTTGCTTGTTGAGAAGAACTAGATGGTTCTACAACATACTCATCCGCAATAAGGTCAGGAAAGAGTAATTCCATCAGAGTTGAAGAGACAGCGGAAGCATCATTTGGAATGAACTCTTTCTCTAATAATGTGGAAGGTCTTGATTCAACATTCGAAGAATCAATGTGGTCTGATTGAGGAGTGACATGGTCCAATAACGGCCTCCC